AACCGTACATCCAAAGGGACTGAGTAAGAGCCCTTATTTACACAGCATCCTGCCTCCAATGGTATCTTCTGTAGAGAATGCCAAGGAAGGTGCTGGGGCTTGTAGAGAGTGGATATGGACTGATCTGGCCCAGCAAAAGTTCTCTCTGCACCCCATTGCAACATCCAAGCTTAGCTCATGCCCTAGCCTGAGCCATTTTCAGTCTTTCTCAGCTTATTTTGGCAATATCTGCTCTCAGTATTAGCAGCAGTGGCAATGTCAGGGTGGTGAGACTGGCTGTGCTTTCTTATTACACTACAGCACATTCACTGTGGAAAATCTGACAAGGCTTTTTCGGCAATGGTCTTTATAATTCTTATAACTGTATTTGCTGTCCAGGCAAAGCTCTAGGTCTATTCACTTCCTGGCCACTGCGGCCTCTACAGACAGTGATTTCTACAGGTAGCTGTGCAGCACCTCCCAAAATCCCTTCCTTTTTGAGTTGTTCTGGAGATGCCCAACAGCACTGGTGACTTTGTTCCTACATGAGAGATCAGGGGTGGGGACCTCCAGTCCCCCTCTCTAGGCCTGTCCTTGTTCACCTCTGCCATCCTGGAACATCTGCTAGACCATGGGCTGTCACTCTTCTCATGCTACCTCTGAACTTCAGCGTGTCCTCCCTGAGTCAGGGCCAGTCTAAAAAGCCAAAGAGCCAACCCTCCAGCTTTAAAGAGACATTGTAATCTTCCCTGAATTGTTCTCCCTCCCCTTCCTCTTTGTATCCTGATACTGTTGTGGTATTTCACCAGGATGCACAGAAACAGCGCAGTTCTCTTTGCTGGCGGTGCTGGGAAGCACCTGAGATGTGTTTTAGAACAGCCCTGGCCATAAAACAGCACAGGAGGTTTTTGCCCATCATCTCTCTGCTGCCCAGCCCAACTGCTCAAGGAATTGAACTCAAAATTGCATCAGGAAAATAATCTAGGCCTAAACCCACCTTCCTTCTGGAGTTTTATTTAAAAAATACTGTTTTCCTATTTTTGTTGAGGGAGCACCCCACCAAAGCAAGTGCTAGGGAACCGGGAGCTGGACAAACAGCTTGGAGGGGACAGGAATTTAACCACTTTTGCCACTGGAGGGTGGTGATGGGGAAGTTCAGCTCTGCCATACATGTCCTCCCTGGCTGTTCCCAGCCTCAGTCTCCCAAGGGCCCACAGGCTGCAATCCACTCGTCTGCCAGGGAGAATGATTTTATTGTCTACAAGACTCGCTCTTCCTCATCTTTCCAGTCAAATAATAAATGCATCAACGGTGTGTGATAGTGCTGAGCCTCAGGGTCTGTTTATTCCTACTGCTGCAGACAATTGCTGGTTTCTGACGCCTTTGCCTCTCCTCACATGGTAACGTGTTTTCTCTAGGACCCTCATCAAAAGCCTTGTCCAAATCCTGGCCAAGGATCCCACGCACAAATCCTAGCCGCATCCCTAGATCCTGGGGTAGCCTGGTGCCAGCTGGTCTGTGGAGGACCATGCTCCTCTCCGGTGGATGTTTTGGCCAGGTATTTACCTGAGGCAGTGCTGAGAAATCTCCCCAACTGGAGGCTTCAGATCATGTCTACAGCTCTGTAAATAGTGAGGGTGCCCCAGGCTCTGCTGGGCTTTCTGCTAGAGTGGCTGCAGACAGTTGGGCTCTTACAATCTTACAGCTGAGTGTTTCAGCCAGGTTCACATCCCAATCTCAGATCTGGTGGACCAAACTCCTTTTTGTGACCCCATGTAGGTCAGAGCTCTTCAGTTCGTCTAGGTTCAGCTCCAGTGAGACCTGAAGTACCAGTGCACTGGATCTGCCTCCAATCTGTTCACACAGCAGCTGATTTTCATGTCTTATTTTTACTAGCACCTCACTCCCTTCCTCTCCAAGTGTTTCAGAAGACCAGGAACCAGCAATTTCCTGCTCTACAGTGTGAAGTCATTTTATTGCAGCACATCCTCCTCTGATCTCCGCATCTTCATCAAGAGAAGCAGCTGGTCCAGGACAGGACCTCCCCACCCTACAGGATCATGGGACAAAGACAGATCACTTCCTGTCCATCTCCACCCTAAAAAGAGGTCTTCTCTCCACAGGTGATAACTGGCCTCCAGACACCACCCAAGGAAAGTGGAGGCAATTTCTAACTTTCATCTACGGAGCAGGTAGCAACCATCTATAGTTTGTCCTGCTAGCACAGCAGTATTGCAACAGCCTTAATCCCACAGGGTGCATTAGCTGGCAAAGGCTAAGTATAGTGAGGATAGTGGTAGTGAGGATCAGGTTTGGCTTACTTCTCACCCCGCTGTCATTTCCCACTCTCCACCCTGAGCTGGTGACCCCACTGACCTATCATCCCCGAAAGGTGCCTTGTTTGCTCCTTCACCTTTGTGTCACCCTGTGCTGAGACTGCTCTTTGAACCCATTGCCTCATCATCTGGCTCACACACCTTGCGTATGAGTGAGGCAGGATGAGCTCCCACTGTTGAGGGTCTCCTTTTGGCTATCTTTAATTTGGGATTAGCTTGCCACTATCCTAAAACGTGTAAGCATGAGTCTCTGCTCTGCTCCATTTAACTGAGGTTGTTTAGCATTTACAGAAACACAGAGAAGTGCGGCTGGGGAAAAAGAAAGCAGCCATTTCTGTCTGCAAGAAGCCACATAAAAGCTGTGTCAGTCCCAGCACTGCATACAAGTAAACTTCTTCCCAAATCCAGGCTGCGTCACAAGCCTTGTCAGAGCTGAGGAGCTCACATCAGTGGGGATGGACAGTGCTGCCTCCCAAGGACAGTGTTAAAGCCACTGCGTACCTGTTAAAGGTCTTGCTCTCAACATGTCTCTGAGATGCTTGGAAAGAGGAGGAGTTGCAGAGTTGCAGGGGATGGAGTGGGTCCTGCATCCTCTAGAGAGGGTGCTGGATGCCTGCTGTGGTTGGGTGCATAAGTACGAGCCCATCACTAGACATCACTCTCAGGCCTGCAGCTAAAGGCTGGCATGTGGTCCAGCAAGGAGTACGCTTAAACCCTTTTGGAGTCCCATTAGGTGTTTGATCTGTCCCTGAGGCACGGCAGCACATTCCCTGGCTGTGGCTTGGTCCGTGCCCACTGGTTCAAAGTACAAGAGATTCACTCAATCCTGCTGGGCACTCTGCGAAAAAACAAAGGGGCATTGTTCAGGCACTCCACAAGGACCCGGGGGTAGAAGTTCTTCCTGAGAGGCTCTGAGAAGGGCACATCCCTGAAGGTGTGGATGTGGGACCTATTGCTCCTGTTTGTAGAAAGTTACTTCCCTGGCCTCATAGTCTAGGAAGACGTTGATCACCCTAGGCTTAACTGAGAGTGTCAGCTCTGCTAGCAGGGAAGTAAAAACTGCATATTTGTCCCTGTTTCTCAGCCACACATTCCAGAAGTTGGTTCCTGGGGAGGGTGTGGATATTCCCTGCCTGCACATAGATTCCTTGCACGCCCCCATAGTCCAGCAAGCCTTGTTCCCCACCTCCGCCTCCCAGCAGTGCCATGAACCGCTGCCAACCCAGTGCTCCAGGTTCCTGGGAACATCTCGCCTCTTCTCTCCCGCTCTCACAGTCCACAGGTCTGGGGACAAGAGCAGGTAGGCATTTGTCATGCCATGGTCCAGAGTCAGCCATTGGGGACAGGAAAAGGACAGTGGCACTGGCTGCTGGCTGTTACTGAACCTTGTTAACTCTTTCAGGGCACTCGCCCACGAGGGCTGTTGCAGAGAGGGTGGTGAGTCAGGGGCTGGTTCTCTGTCGCTCTTCCTGTCAGGCTGAGCCACAAAAAGGAGGAGGGAATTGCCCACAGCCACACACTGCGTCAGCAGCAAAAAGCCCCAGTTCCAAGGGTGGGACAAGTGGGGGATGTAGGATCAGAACCCGGGAGTCCGGGCAGCCAAGCTCCTCTCCCAGCAGGCCTCACAAGGATGCCTCGTTCCCATGTGTGCTTCTGTGTCCAACAGCAATATCATTAGCTCTCATACCTAGCACTATAGCCTAGTCCAGACCTGACTATGATTTTGATCTCAAGTCAGAAAGCCAGGTATCCAGCCTCTTGTTTTCACGTGGTCCCATGTTTTCCACGGACAAGGCTGCCTGATACAGAGCTTCAGCCCTGCCCCTTCCTGCCATCCTCCTGTCTGGATCCTTCTGGATTTGCTGCCCTTTCCCATAATATTTCTCCAGAGTTTCCCTCACCCTCGGGACCTCATAGGACTCCTAGAGCACCATGGGAATTGCTGGCAGGGCCTGAACCTTCAAGCTTGTGCTCCTAGGGAGAATGCAACACTTTTTTGGACTATGGAGGATATGGGCATGATCCTGTGCACGGACTGCTGTGTGCCATGCTGCCCATACGGCACCTTAACAAGGTGCTCTTTACAGCCCGAATGGGGAAAAACAGATGAGGGTCAACTTTTCCACTTGAGTGAAGACGAGAAATCTTCACTCAGTAAAGCCAGATGACTGGGCCAGCATCCTGTCTGCAGTTGAGGAAGGGAAAAGCCCCTAGACATATCCATCTATCCAGCCAGCCATTGAGCTGAGTGCCAGCACTTATAGCAGCCAGCAATCTATGGACTGAGGGTAATCTGCAGGCCTAGAAGCATGTGGAAAAAATGCAACTCTGATTTAACCCTTTCTTCCCCACCAATGAGTGCCTTCTGTTCAGGGCTTCTTTGCCCTTGAGGGAAAAGAGCCCCAGAAACGTGACTGGGAGCTCAAGGGAGGTCTGAGCTGCCTGATCAGGGTCTAGATCTCAGGGGAACCAGCACTGCCTCTCCATTTTGCTCCAGCCTCCCTAGGCATGCACACTTCTGAGACCATGTGTGGGGCTCAGCACTGCAGGGACGGAGTTAAAAACCTCACTGACGCAAGGCTTCAAAACTTGGCCCTGCTCTGTCCCGACTTTGTCCTGCTTTGTTTCTGGAGTGATGGCTACAGGATCTGGGTGTTTCCAAATTGGAATGGATAGAAGAGTGCAGTCAGTTTTCCTGAAGGCCCAGTGTTTGGGAAGAGGCTGCTGGAAGGCAGCCAGCAAGAGCTCCAGTTCGATGGTGAGATTTGAAAGTGGAAGTAACACTCTTGCAACACAAATTGGGCAGGGATAGGCCACCTCCCTTGTGCTCACCTACCCTTTCTCTCTACCCTAGGCAGGATCACAGCACCTAGCCCCAAACAGGTGCATTTTTAGTTGGAAGATATTGCTCCTAGGACTCTGTTCAGTCATCCTCCTGGACACTAGGCCAGCTCAGACACTGGAGCCTGACACTAAACCTGTGGGAGCACCCACTGCACTCTCCCATCCATTCCTATTCAGGAACACTCAAATCCTGTAGCCTAGGATGGGAAATAGGCTAGAGCTTGGGGAGCTTGGCAGTTGGTGCTGGAGGGGCAGGTTGCCTGTGCCTTCCTTGGCTCCAGCCTTCCCCAACCCCCCTGCAGCCCTGGGCCTAGCTCACCTGAAGTAGGTGAGATGCTAGCAGGTTATTGTTAATATTGTTAATATTTGATCAAGCAGAAACTACTTTTTTTCCCTTTAATCAGCACTTTACTAGGTTCTTGCCTCCTTCTCAGGGGCTGGTCCTTGCCCTGGGGAATGCAGTCCTTCCTGAGTGCTGGGTCAGCTCTTCAAGAGGCCAAGAATGGTCTGGGAACGGGAGGAGAGCTGCCAGGCACCAATATTTCTCTTGACATGCCTTAAAATACTGTTCTGGGGAGCACTGAGGACTCTCAGCATTTCTGGGAGCTGCAGTATTGGGTGCTGGGCCACAAAAGACAAATCTCAATGGTCCCCATCCCTCTGCCAGCTCCAGAGCAAAGGCCATAGACTGTGTCTGGGTTTGCAGCCCCTCAGCCCAGCTGTCCTTGCAGCATCTGTCACTGGAATGTGACTAAGCCTGACGGCTTTCTGTCACAACCAGGCTGGCTGGACAGGGCCTGGCGAGTGAATGGTGGCACATCCCCTCCCTGTGCCCAGCCAGTCATCAGCACAGCCAGCTCCTGAGGCTTTTCTCTCTCATGTACCCAATTGCCCAGCCCAAAAAGGCCTGGCCTTTTCTGTCCCAGCCTAGTCAGAAAATCTGCAGAGCAGGGTTCAGCTCCCCTTGTGCCTGTGAAGCCAGGGTTGCATGGCAAGGGCTGCACAGACTCCAGAGCCAGGGGCTGTAGGGTGCAGGATATGCGTGCAGGACAGTGAAGCCAGGCCACTCTGTGCCCATAAGGAGCTGGGTGCCCTCAGGAAGGGGAGAGCAAGAAGATCACAGACCGCACAGAGCAGACCCTGGGGACCATATGTTTGGTCCCAGGACTGTGAAACCACCAGGTCCCACACAATGGCAAGAGAGGTTAGAAGTGGCTCAGTGTGTCCCCAGGACTCTGGACATGTGAGGAAGTGCTGAGCCTCATCAGTGGAGCAATGTTCAGCCTGCCTCACAGGAGCAGAGCTGGCACCCTTCTCAGGTGGGTGCCCTGATGGTGGGAGCAAAGAGCTCCAACTACAAGTGCCTCAGGATGGCAGCAGAGATTGAGGAGTGAGCAGGTATGGCAGCACCCAGATCTATCTGCCACTTGGAAATGTTCATGATCTCCTGGGACCACAGCTGACACACGTTGGCCATCGTTCCCCAGGGTGTCCAGCGCATCCTGCAGTTACGTCTGGGGGGACATAAGAGGTGGGATCACATCTCCAGACACCGTGTCCAAGCTCCAAGTCAAACATGGGGCATCCCTGCCTGCAGAACATGAGAAGGGCACAACCCTGTAGACCTTAGAGATAGCACAGGGGAATTTTGTCATTGCCAATGTCACTTGGCCCCTGCAGGGCAGACTCAGCTGATTCCCTGGAGGAGGTGGGTGCATGACTTGTGAAGACCTGGGGAGGATGTGGCTCTGGTGATCATGTCCCTTTCTCCATTTGGCCCCCTGGGATGTCCCACATGGGCTGGCTAGTTGCACTGGGACCTAGTCAGGACCCTGCATGAGGCAGCTGAGCTGAGCACGGTGACTGCCTGGGGCTACGCAGTGTAGCTGGGCCACAGTTTGTTCTCAGGGAAGCTGGCACAGCCCCAATTGGCTCCTCAGCCCAGAGCCCAGAGCACTCCTCCTCAGAGTGGATGCAAACCTGGCTGGACCCCTCAGTGGGGACATGACACCTTTGCAATGAGGCAGAGCTGCTTGAGGGCTCTGGGGCACTAAAATCCCTTTGCAGTTGTAGGAGCTCCCACACCAGCATCTGGGATGAAGCAGAGCTATCCCAGTGCCTCTCCCTGGCCTGACCCAGGGCTCAAGGGACAGGGAAGCCAGCTCTGGTGGCTCGGTCCCAATTTCCGCCGAGGCGAGCCAGTCACTGCCCATTACTTGGTCCTCCCAGGACTTGCCACATGCAAGGCAAATGACCTCCTTTGAGGAGCACACGCTCTTCAGGCCTCCTGCAGAGCATCTCCCTGGGACCCTCACATGTCAGCCACTCCATGCACGCCACAGTGTTGGCCAGCTACTGGCTGGGCCGGAAGGCAGCTGGCAGGAGCCCTGTGCAGCACTGTGGGCAGAAGCACACCCTAGTGGCTGAGCTTCCACCCCATTCACTGTAGGTGAAATGTAGCAACAGCTGTGCCCACAGTTGATGGTCACCACATCCCTCAGGATCTCCTGGCAGATGGAGCAGGTCACCTTGTCTTGGAGAGTCCCCACAGTGTCCTTCCCCCCAGCCATGGTTGCTCTCTGAGCCAGGCTGCTTGCTGCAGACATCTTCCCTCACTGGAGTACAGCTGTGGCAGGAGCTGAGATGGGTGATGGATGCTGAGCACCAGGGAGGAAGTGGGAGAGATTGGGGATGATGCAGAGCAGAGGGCTGTTTTGCTGCCATGTACCCACAGAAACATCCAGCGTGTCCTCAGGCTGATTGCTTCATTCTGAAGGTCATAGTAATGGGCATGACCAGGCTCAGCACTTTTCCAGTTTCTGCAGAAAGCAGGTCTGTCCCAGAGCTACAAACTGGAGGAACGAGTCCTTGCACCTCTCGCTATGCTCGCTGTGCTGGCTCTCCTTGCTGCTGAGCCTGTGCCAGAGAAGAGTCAAGCCAGAAAAATTGGCCTCCTCAGATCCTCCCCACACCAGTCTCTTGGGTCAGTGTTTGTTCAAGCACACTGCTCCGCACTGCACTGCTCTGCAAGTGCAGCTCTGCTTGGAGGTGCTGCTCTGCAGATCTCAAAAGGCCAAAAGCACAGACTTGAACTGGGGGAGACCGATCCCTGCTCTGCTCGAGGGGATGTTAACCTGCCTCCTGCATGCTGCAGAGGGTCTCCATCTCATGAAAACTCTTCTGATTGTCATGAAATAATCAGTTCTCTTTGTGTGGAGGCATGAATTTGGGGCCTTCCACAGCACATCCTTAGGATAAAAGTGCGACATCGATTATAGCAGCAACAGTGATCCAGGCTCCTATACCTAGGAATAGCTGTGCAAGTGGGACAGTATGGCTAAAGGGACTATCCTGCCAGCTACCCCACAGCATGGAGGTTGGGCAGGATAGGGTCATGAGTAGGATAACCACGAAACTGAGATTTGCACAAGAACTGGGGCAAACCCAGGAGTCCCAGGCTGGAAGTGCTGCTGGGGCCAGTCCCAGAGCTCCCAGGTATCCGTTTCCCATCTCGTAGATGGCTGTACTGCTTGAAATACTATTTAGGTATGATGGGGATTTTTATTTTAAGCAACCCATTCATTTGATGTGTGAGCTCAAAAAGAGTAATTAACGCAGCAGCATTCTGGTCCCTTGTTCCCTAATCCTTTTTGAACTTCCTGCCATGACCCAAAGTCTTCCCGGGAGCCACTGGCCTTGCAGCATGGGGGAGGACACATCCTTATAGCCCAGCCACCATCTCCTTCCCTGATGGGGGCTGAGGGGTTGCTATGCTCCCCCATCCTTGTGCTCTGTAATGTCCTGCAGGCAGCGAGGATGGGTTGACAAGGCATGAGCATCCCAGCGTGGGATCTCGAGCGTGTTGGCTCAGCTAACACACTGGGGAGCGGGGGGCAGCTCCTTCCGCACACCACGGAGTGGGACCAAGATGAACCCCAACACAGGGGCCAGGACCCAGCAGCGGTTTCAGCTGAGCTAGTTGGGTTGCGGAGCTCCCAAATGGATGCTGGCAAATGAGCACCTTGTCCCTTATACAGTCAGGCTTTGCTGTAATCATCAGGCAGTTAGCTCATTTAAAGCACACTCAGAACTGCGTAATACACTAAGGGGCCCTGGCCTCTCATCTGGAGCTGGGAATCACTGCAGTCCTGCAAACTGACACCTTCCCTGCTGCTCAGTTTGGTCTGCCTGGGTTTGGCATCATCCCGTTGCTCAGTAGCTAACTGGGAAGGACTGACTGAGGCAGGCCACTTTGGGGGCTCCCACCTTGTAGTGCCTGGGTGTTAGATTCAGCTGTAACATGGCTGGGGGTGTTTGAGCAAGGCTGGGTGGGTTTTGCCCTGCTGGCCTGGAGTCTGGGTGGCCCCATGCTGTGGCATAATACTCCAGGTAGGGCACAGACCTGTGGCCAGTTGATGCCCTGCCAGGGGCTGAAAGCATCTCCCAGGCCCCGATAGCTGCAAACAGGGAAAGTGTTTAGGGGCAGCAATCTCCCCTGAAACTTGTAATTTCATTCAGGCCAGCTCTGAGCAACAGCATTTGGAAGGTCAGTGCTAAATCTGCTCTGTGCACATCCAGTGATGCTCTGGAGGGAGGGATTGGGGGGGGGTCCTTATCCCTTAGGGCTTTTGGTTCTGCCTCTGGGAGCTAAGGAAAGGTTACAGCCCTTTGAATACATATTCCCTGATCCCTTGCTTGTGGCTTGGGAATGGTCAGGCAAAGGCAGCCAAGCTTAGCCCCAAGCAGTGCAAAAGAGGTTTACGATCTCAGCACGGCTTAACCTGATTGGGAGCCAGCCCCGCCACACTCCTTCCTGCTAACATCAGGTCGCGTTATCCATAGAAACAACCAGTCCACACTGCCTCCTGCCTGCTGGATGTGGTGAGCTTCTGGCAGCGTTAGTGGTCCATCTTGGCCACCCCTGGCTACAAACTAGGACAAGCACAGGTCACAGGCTCCATCACGAGGCCATCATAGCTTTTCCTCTATGGATACTGTCCTAGCTCCATGCTCTGTGCCACTGTTGTGGGTGACTGTTTTTGCTCCTGTCCATGGGAGGAAACTGAAGCACAGAGAAGGTCGTGATTAACTCATGGCTCAGCAGCAGAGGCTGGTTCCTGCAGTGGAGACGTGCTCCCTGCCCACCCTTCCTCACTGCATTCAACACCACTGATTTGAGCCCTCATGAACCTGTGAGGGATCTAGATGCTCCCCTGTGGCTGCTGGGGCCATGCAGCCCCCAGGAGGCTGGGACAGGGGACAGAGGACACAGCCTGTATGTCCCAAGGGCCAAGCAGGACAGAGGAGGAGGAAGGGCGGGTCCTCTCTGGGGCAGCTCCCAGGAGCTGTGGAGTTAACACAGGGCAGGAGGGTGTGTGAGGTCCAGGAGGACAGCAGGACACATCCCTGGCTTTACACACCTGTGTGCACACCTGCTCCCTGCGCACTCTGGACACACACACAGCTCCATATTCCTGCTTGCTGTGCCCCATCCCCAGGGGTTGTGCAGGTGCTGAGCCCAGTGAACTCACCACGCTCTATGCCACATCCTCTCCTCCCCTCTAGCCTTTGCAACCAGCTCCAGAGCCTCTTAGGATCAGCTCCATTGCTGCTTGTTTCCACAAGCCCTCAGTGCTGGAGCATAAAAAATGGGCTGCAGTGCTGCCACCAACCCTTTCTACTGATGGGGAACGTGCCAGTACCAGGGGCTTTACTCAGTGTCTCCGTACTAGGGTGTCCAGCCACAGATCCCCTGGGTGGTCACAGCTCCTGAGTGCACAGCAGCACCAGCCAGGTCCTGATCTCATCCTGGGTGGCATCATCTGACGGAGCCAGACGTGCTATTCCCTGACCACAGGGAAGCTCTGGCTTAGGTCCCCCCATGAGGAAGGAGTGTCTTCCAGTTCCAGCTCCCCTGGGGCAGGCAGCACCATGGGGCAGCCAGGGCTCCTTCCTTCCCTGCCGTGTGGCTGGTGCCGTGGAGCGAATCCGGACTGATGCACGGAGGAGAAAGGTGAGTGCAGCCTTGCATACAAAAATACCTCTATTGCTCACTGTGTGAGGGCCTCTGACCCTGCTGTCCACGGCCCTCGCCTGCCTGCAGCCCACACGGGCTCCTGCGCTGCCTCATGGCGCAGAGCTTGGTGCCTGCAGCCAGCAGTGTGGCCGAGCGCAGGCTGCTCTTGGCCAGCTCCAATGCAGGCCCGTGCCCTGCACTGCTGGGAGTGGAGCTGCAGGGCCGGCCTCGCTGCTGGCAGACTTGCTGCTGCATCCCTGCTCCGGGTCCCCTCTGGCCCTCCTTCCCTGTCAGGACTCCAGGTCTCGTGAGAGCCGCAGCAGCTCCTTCTGGCTGTCGATGGCTTTCAGGTGCTGCAGGTAGGCCCAGGTAGAGACAGGGCTCCGCACGCTCAGGGACTGCTCGGAGCCTGCAACAGAGAGCCGAAATCAAAGCTGGGCTAACACCTCTTGCTGGGCTTATGCCTCTCGTTGGGCTCACCAAGCCCTCTGCATCATCACTGGCCTAACTCACCGACCCCGCCTCCATCAGCTCTGGCTCAGCTCACAATCCCCTATCCATTGCTTCTGGCTTGACTCATCAGTCTGCCTCCACCCCTTCCAGTTTGGTTCACCAATCCCTTTCCATCATCTCTGGCTTGGCTTGCCAATCCCCCTCCATCACTTCTGGTTCAGCCTGCAGATCCCCCTCCACTGCCTTTGGCTCAGCTCACCGATCCCTCTCTGTCACCTCTAGCTTGGCTCATTGATCCTCCTCCAGTGCCTCCAACTCAGCTCATTTAACCCCCTCCATCACTTCTGGCACCTCAATGGGGCTGAAGGGGCAGGAGCAAGGAGGAACAGACTCACACCAAGGGACAAAGAGATGCACCCAGCTGCTGCCTACGGCTAGAGCCATATGGAATGGTTAGAGCACTCAGGCATGTTGGAAGTGCTGACTGATTCTCCCTTCAGCATGAAATCATGCTGACTGGTGTCTCCATCCAGCAGTGTGCGGGCCACAGACTCATGTCGCTCCATATGGCAGGGGGAGGGAGCTCAGCCTCCATCCCTGGGTACCAAAAGCACCTAGCCCAGTTTCCTCCCACTGCAACGGGGCTGATGCCCTTGGAGTGTCCCCATGGGACTCCACCATGCAAGGGCGCATGTTCGTCCAAGCCAGCCTCCTCCAGCCATGGACAGCCCCAAGGAGAGGGAGTCTCCCATTGCAGGGGATCATTGCATTGGATCAGCAAGGTCAAGCCGTACATGTGGAGATCCTCATGGCCTTGGGGTCCTCCAGTCGGTGTGGGGAACGACTCCGCAGTGGGGAGACCGGAGCTAGGTGTGGAGAGAGAGCAGGAGCTTAGCTATGTCCCCAAAGCTGCCCTATTCCCCTGCCTCACTTGCTGCCCTCACCCGTGGGTGATGACAGCCCTGCCTGACCCCTTGGGCAAGCACTCACCATGTGTGTGGCCCCGGCAGCGCTGCAGGACACGTACAGTCTTAGCCATCATGTGCTGTGGGCAAGGTACAAAGGTCACTTCCTGCCACCTGGCACCATTTTGCTCCCAGGCTGGTAAAACATAGTCCCCTCCAGCTTTAGTAGTGGATGTGGCTGCCTCATGCCCTCTGTGAAGGACTGCAGCTGGAAAGCCAGTCCTGCGTGCTCCTGTACCATCCCCATTCCCTGACAAGCACAGGGCCAAGGGGGTCCGCTCCTGGGGGTCTGCACTAATGCCACATGGCGGCTCTTGATCTGCCTCCCAAGGGATGCTGTGCAGGGTGCACGTCTGAGAGATGGGATGACAGGCAGGTCCCCAGGTCCCCAAAGGGTGGAGGGGATGGGACCTGCCTTCCCAAAGGGGAGCAAAGCTGCCTGACTCACCATCTTCTCAAAGTTGATGAGATTCTCGGCCAACGTGCGGTTGCCCTCGTGGATGAATGTCATGTCTGCAGGGGAAATCTTGGGATCAGACTGAGCCCAGGGCTTAGCTTTCTGCCTGCACCCTGCTGTGGCCAGGATCAGGGCACAAGGCATGACCCCAACTTTTGCCATGCCTGAGCCATGGGCTCAGTCCTCCCTCAAGCAGAGCCCTGTGCAGGGAAGAGGCTGTGCTGCGCAATATGGCCCCGCGGGATGGAGACCAGTGCCATGGCTGTGGCTAGTCTTTGGGACCCATGGACGAAGAGCCTCCATCTGGGTCTAAGAGGTGCTTGAGCCTTTCCCATCAGCCCCAGTGCCAAAGGGACCTAGCCACTGGGGAGAGCTGGATGCAGGCAAAGGGTTCCCTGTCATTACATCCCAAACTTCCTGCCCTGCACCCCCAGCAGAAGATGTGCAGCCTTCCTCCCCCCAGCTCAGTGCTCACACATCTGGAGCTGAGCTACCTACCTTTGAGAAGAAGGGGTACGAAGGGGATGATGGGGGGGCTCAGCTTGGCGACGGCCAGCCGATAGACCCTGTGGTTCCATGAGGGATCCTGAGGATGGAGCAGGATTTCAGCACGGAGCAGGCAGAGACACAGCCCCGACTGCAGGCTGCCCATGGCCCTGCGTGCAAAACGGCTCCAGGGAGGGAGACACATAAGAGAGGAGACCTCCAGTGCCCTGAACCAGCATATCTCAGAGCTTGGGGGAAAAGGTGGGCACTGTCTCCCCGGTGTCCCTGTCCCAGTGACCCTGTGTGTTTTGGGAAGCAAAGGCTGGAGAGAGCCCCAGCAAGTGCAGGGAGACTGAGGTGACCCTGCACCTTTTTCTGCACACACAATCCCATCCTGCTCTGGTCCCTGGTCCTCCAAACCCTGGCCCAAAGCCTGCACGGGAGCATCCCTGCTCTGTCTTGGCATCTGTGTGGGAATGGTGCAGGGAGGGAAGGGGTCATGCTCACCAGCATCCGCTCCAGCGCTGCGTGCAGCTTCCGGATCTTGTGAGGCAGCTTCTGTGCAGAGAGAGGGTCATCCGACATCCCAGCCCCAGCACCCTGGCTCTCCCACCCTCAGAGCCGTGGCTCCCACAACATGCCCATGGGGGATGGCAGGATTTGGCCGAGGTTCAGCCTGGATACCACCAGCAAGAAGGCTGGGATCTCGATGTAATGCCCTCCAGATGTCCAGGGATCTCCTGGTTTTCATGCCCTGTAATGCCCATCTCTGGGAGTCAGGCTCTGCGACACCACTTGCTCTGGGCACTTGTTAGGAGCTGTAGATTTGGAGCCCATTTCTACCCTGATCCAGGGGATTTGGGCCCTGGGCCGAACCTAACCAGCTGTGTGATCTGAGCTTGTCTGTCTCCCTCCAAGGCACTGAGGAGGGAAATATACTCCTTGTCCTTAGCAGATCTCTCACCAGAAGCTTTTGGAGTGTGGGATCAGCTTTTGGGGTCATTGCCTTCACCTCTTGCCCAGGTTGGGGACACAGATCTGTCACTACAGGGCTTGGGACACTTTGCAGGGCCAGTATGAGCCCAAAGAAGGGCTGCCATGGCTGGTTACCTCCCAGGTCTTGGCAAGGCGGCTCACAGCTGTGTTGCTCACACCAAACATCACGGCAAAGAAGGAATTCAGGTTCTTCTGCTCCTTGAGGCTGCAAGCAAGGACAGAGCCAGTCAGGGCACATGGGAAGCTACCAAATTGCCCTTGCAGGGCTGGGACGTGGGTGTCGAGGCACTCACTGTGCAGCCAGCTTGATGAACTTGCGGAGGAGCTGGGCTCGCCTGCCCACCTCGGGGCAGAGGCACAGCTCTGTGGCCACCCAGTACTGCAGCTCATTGAAGCGCCGCATGACTCGCTCCAGATTGGCTGTGGTCACGTCATGAAACTTCTGTGGCCTGATGATGTAGTGGATCATTTCCACCTGCAGAGCCCAACGCCATTGCTGAGGCTAGCCAGGGTGCCACACTGAGTGCAGAACGGGCATCCCGAGAGCCACCCCAGGGTGCAGGATGGAGGTGTTTTCCCCAGGACGTGCACTGCCCTTACCTGGTGGATGCTCTTGAAGAGGTTCCAGTCATAGTCCGTGAGATGGCTGGCCAGGTCCTTGGAGCTGATGAGGTCCAATGTTTCTGAGGAGCCGGTGCTGGGCCCCAGCTGCTCAGGATGGGGGGTCTGTGCATAAGAGAGAGGATACCCAACCCCTCCTGCTGTTAGCAACTGCAGCAGGGAAGATAAGGATGGCTCCTGCCCGGGGAAGAGGATGAGGGATGGATGAACACCCTTAGCCCCGAGCACTAAGGAGACAAGTCAGCCACAAACCCCACTCTGGGGAGCACTGGCACCTCGTGGCCAGCCCTGCCTGCAATGTCATCCTTCCCCTGTGCTGCTGCAGCTGGTGTAGGGCCCGTGGCGTGCCACCCCAGTGCTGCCCAGCCCTGAGCTCCCCCCATGGCGGGATGCCCTGTCAGCTCATCCCACACAGCCCCAGCGCTCACCAGGCTGCACAGCTCCTCCATGCTCACAGCAAAGAGCCTCTCATTGAGCCCCAGCGAGGTGAACACCCCCACAGCATCCATCTGCAGTCCCACTTTATCTGCAGGAGAGAGGATAGTTGGTGCTGGGATGCAGCTTGCTTCCAGGCAGTCAGATGGGACGGATGGGTGACCGGCTCCTGGCACAGCCAGTGCCAGCCCTGCCGGGACTGCAGGAAAACGGGGCAGATCCTGCCCAAGCACTGCCACATACTGCCACATACCGCCTTTATTTCCTGCAGGCAAAACCTGCAGGTGGAGAAAAACACGGCAGCAGCCCACAGTGCATTTGTAGCTCTGCTGTGAGAGGAGAGACCCTGAGGACATGGCAGCCCTGGGAGACGGGGCTCACCTCCGGCTGAATTAACCTTCACCAGGATGTGCTCATCCTCGTGGCCGAGCTTAGGGGTGAGGGACCGGAGGATGTCCCGCACCGAAGCGTTCACAGGCAGCACCGTGATGAGGCACGAGTGGTCTGGTCTGTAGATCTCATAGGGCACTGAGGAGGGAAAGGGCTTCAGTAGGAACCATGGGCGGTAGCCACCCCCGCTGTTGCAGCCATCAGAGAGGGGACTGTCTCCCTCCAGCGGTAACAGTCCCCTCAGGCACACACAAGTGTGCATGATCTGTACCTTTGTCCTGAGCCCTTAAGGCACAGCTGCTATTCAAAATTGCCTCCTCCTGGCCTGCAAACCAGTTCACAGAGCTCCGAGCCTGGGGTGAAGGTGGGAGAGAGAGGGTCAGCGCAGGGTGCTGTTTGGGGAGGAAGGCCCCTTTGACATCCCACTGGCCATCCCTCCTTTGCGGGGACTGTGGATGACCCAGTTCTTCAATTCCCCACCTTGGCATCCACCAGTTTGCAGGGCTGCTCCCTACCTTAGGCTGGGGAGAAATGCTGCCACCTCCATTCTCTAGCCTGCACAGAGAGAAGTAAATATAGCATTAGAGCCCAGAAGACCACACGTGGTGCTGGAGACAGAATCAGCTGTGTTACACTGGAGAAGAGCCTGCAGCCCCCAGGATATGGGGTGCCAACAGGACCCACCGAGCATCCCTGCACCACAGAGCACTGGCGAGTCTCAGTGGTGTTTTACACACCCGTGGCTGGGAAACCTTGGCGCAGGGCCCAAGGATGCCTGAGAACTGTTAGTGCCATGCCAGAGATGTCAGGTGATTGCACTGCAAGCTTGTTTTGCTTGCTAAAAGCTCAGCCCCAAAGAAAGTGCAATTCCCTATGGCCTCTCCAGAGGTGCAGGATCCACAGAGCACATGGACATCAGCAGTAGCACTAGGTACAGCCAGGCTCTGTTTCGGATGGGAATCCCTGTCCTTCTCCAGAGGACTCACGGTCTGGGCCGCCGGCGGTCCTGTGCTTGCTCCTGGATCAGCCCACCCAGGCGAGGATCCTGGCTTGCCAGGTCTGCGAGGCTCTGCAGAATGAAGGTGCCCGGCAGTCAGTACAGCATGACCGTGGCCTGATGCCTGTGGGATCCCGCCGCACAGCACGAGCAGGCTGGGGACCTCCCTCCCGGCCCCGCAGTACCTGCAGCAAGGCTGTGGTGGTGCGGTCACCCTGCAGCAGACGCCCATAGAGCAGCACCCACTGGCTCACCAGCCGCAGGATTTTCCGGCGCTTATGTAGGGAGTAGGTGGCCTTCTCCTGCTCCAAGCCCTCCAGCGGCTCCGTGCGGAAAGTGGGATGAGTCAAGGGGATCACCACTGGCAATGCGGGGCTGGGAGAGGTCAGGGCAGGGAGAGGACCCCCATATACCAAGAGGAGAGATGGGTGGGTGGTCTGTGCCTGAGGGTCCTTGGTATGTGGGGTTCCCCTGGCCAACCCCTAAGGTCCCACTGGGGTGACTGAGACCAAGCTGAGCTGTCCCAGGCAGGCAGGTTCATGCCGTGGGATGGAGCCCCAGGTTCCCCTTCAGTCGCAGAAGGATATTGGTGCAGCAAGGCTCTGCAGAGCTGTGAGGTCGGCAAAAAAAAAAGCAGGAAATCCCCCAGCAGGTTATCTGGAAGAGACCAAACCAGTCCCTGTTTATGCTTCACGAAGCCTAGTGAGCCGTAGCAGGGCTGGGCACACTGCAAGGAGCGCAGCGGTCATGGCCAGGCAGTTCAGCTGGCTGGGAATGGGTCACCCATCCCCTGTTTTGGGCTAGGATAGCTGTGGTCTTCCCTCCATGGGGACTCTGCTCATGGCCTTGGACACAGGCCACTATTTGCTCTTAAATGCTGAAGAAAGGGTTGGCAAGAATGAAAGCTTATTGGAATGAAAAAATTAAAGAGACACAAAAAGTTCAGCAGACTTCATTTGGAGAAGAGTTAGCTAAAAAAACAGCCTCTGAGGAGTCGAATTCAGAAGCACTCATTTTTCACTCACTGGGGCCACCTCCTGGTCTCTATCTCACCCCATTTTGATCCTCTCTAAAAGACAGGGAGGTGAAGGGAAGCAATTCACAGGCTCCAGAGCAGCTTCCTTCTCCTGGCCTGAATGGATGATTTAATGGTGAGAGAAGTGGCTTTTTTGGCTGAACTCCCAGGAAGTTGATGACTTTGGGAACAAGCTAGAGACATGAGCAGATAAAGGAGCAGCAGAGGAGACCGGGGAGAGTTTAAAGCAAAACCAAAGGAGAGGCAAAATCTGCAGTTTTGCCACAGCCAACCAGGGCAGCACCAGCAGACAGAGGGTCACAGCCCCTTGCTAATTGGCTGCACCATCAGCCATCCCCACTGGGCAGCCCTGCTTTGCACCGGTCCTCAATCCAGTACCCTGCCCCAACCCATGTGGGTGGGTCTGAGCCTTGGCCCAGCTATATCTGGGACATCTTCCCCAGGGCAGGGGATGCAGATGCACACATACCCACAGGGTCGTAGAGTGTCGCATCGAGCCTCATGAACTCCAGCAGATGCTCGAGGATCTTCTCAGGTGTCCCAGCCATCACTGAATACCTGGTGGGCAGAGCACAGGACACATCAGGCAGCCCCATGGGAAGGACCCAGTGCCGCATTTGTGTGCAGGGCCACCACGAAGGGCTACTTGGCCAGGCATCCCTGTTCCCCCTCTGGGGACAGAGTCCTCCCAGCAGACTCCCCTAAGGGAAGCTGGACAGTGGCTGCAGTGCGAGCTTGGAGATGGGCTGTGGCCGGCATAGGGCAGGGGGACAGGCAGCACAGGCTGGGAACCCTGCAGGCACCTGTCCCTCACCTAGGTAAGGAGGGACAGGGATAGGCTGCTGTTACCTACTGCTCCTTGCAGCAGCTGGCTGGCTGCTGCCACCCTGCAGGTTTTTCTGCAGGATGAGCACCACCTTCCCGTGCTCCTTCAGACGCATGGTGTTGGCCTCGACATCCTAGAGAGTGAAAGCAACCATGAGCGTGGGAGAGGGATGCCAGGCTCTGGGACCCCGAACCATCCTTATTATCCCCCAAACCATGGCACAGGGCTGCAGAGTGCATCACTCATGGCCCCCTGAACCCTGCACTGGACCTGGCTGGCACTGCCCAGGGACTGCTGTACCAAGCCCTGTGAGCAGGCACCCTGGGTTGTGGGCACCAGGTGATGCCAGTCCAGCTGGTTGCACCCCAAAAACTACATCAGGAAACAGAGATACAGGATAGAAGTTGCTCAGAGATGTGCCCTCCATGGGGCCCTGGAGCTGGGAGCACCATGGTCTCTACGCATCCCTTAGCCCTGGGAGAAGCATGACATGCCTTGGATCGAGCAACACTGACATGCCCGGTGTCCCACTAACCATGAGGGCCCCGTGCCTACCTTGAGGATGCGGTTGAAGTCCTGCTTGTCCACACGGAGGAAGTGGCAGTTGTCTTCCCGTAGAATGATGGTGGCTGCGCGGGGTGCGTCATTCACCAGTGCCAGCTGCCCAAAATCGTCCCCCTCGTGCAGGGTGGCCACCAAGCCCTGGGGAGGCAGGAGGATGAGGGATAGGGTGGGAGCCCTCACCCCCACTCTGCACCAGCAAAGCTGTGTGTCTAGAGAGGCCTGCTCCATTGGTACTTGGGAACAGCGAGGAGTGGATGGGCCTAGGGAGCTTCGGTGGCTGCTGTGCAAGGCAGGGAATCACGTACCTTGCCATGGGTGACCACATTCACCGAGCCCTTCCAGATGATGTACCACGACGTGCCTTTATCTCCTTGGCTGAACACTGCAGAGAAAACTGTGGTGTCCAGCAGTCGAACAGGTGGAGTCCCTGAGCATCCCACAAAGGGCTACGAGGGGATCAGCCCTCTTCAGCCATCCCATCATGGCCAGCCCCAGCACCCAACCCAGACCAGGCAAATGGGGCAGGTGCTTTAGTCCCCTCCATCTCTGGTCCACAAAGGTCCAAGGATTGCTGCAGGACATCAGGAATGTCCACAGCTGGTGGCAATTCATCCTTAGAAGAGGACCCTTTCCTAAATGCCAGCCCAGCCCTGCACCCTCTTCTGGAGTGAGAGCCAGCCGAGGCTGTGCGATGCTCGCACGATACTCACGCACGGTGCCTGCCCTCTGGTGTGACTCAAACATCATCACGGACGCCAGCTCCCGCTTCACCTGCAGTGAGAGGTGCCCACCCTTTAGTGTCACCCCAGCCCGGAGCTCAGCAAGGAGGGGACATGTTTGGGTAGGGGTGATGGGGGCAGGAAGGGATCCCAGGGTGGTTGGAAAGGGCAGAAGGGGAGAGGAGGAAGATGCCCAGATGTCATGGGAGGTGATGGGACACAGCAGAGTCTGGGGAATAGAGCGGGAGGGGGACGCATGCTGGGGGGAAGCACAGCATGACCACACTCACCGAGTTGGAGAGATGGGCCACAGCCTTTATGTGTAGGAGCTCCTCAAATATGAGCTCTAGCTCATCCTCTGTGCGCTGGGTAGGCCTGGGGAGAAAGAGGAAGTAGGTGGCTGTCCGCGAGCCAGCTCTGCAGGGTACAGCATCCCAGGAAGTGGCTGTGCACCCTCTCCCTGCCATGTCCTGGGGCACAGCCCTGTGCAAATGTCCCTCTCTAGATGCAACCTGGTGGCAGGGCAGTCTCTTTCTCTCCCTGAGGCACCATCCAGAAGGTGCCTGGGTGTCTGAGACCAGAGGCACTAAACACTCTGCCTGGGTACCACTGGGCTACGGCTGGGCTCTGGGATCCTCTGGCCATCTGACAGCCTACAGGAGATGCTCGGGTTACCCTGCACCCCAACCCTGTGCAGAAAGCCTTCCCTTGAGCCCTGTCCACAGGAGCCTTTGGCATCTCCAGCCCCCTGGAACTAAGTGGGGTTGAAATGGGGCCCTGTGTCCCTCCCCGGTCCCTGGGGAGAGCCCAGACACTCACGGCTTGCGCAGGGCCATGGTGAGCAGTGCGTCAGGGCCCAACTGGGCCAAGAAGGCCAGTGCCTCCAGTAGCTCCTCCGCATCCCGGAGCCCATTGCTGGGCTCGGGGCTCAGCTCCAGCTCGGCAAAGCGGTAAAACTGGGTGTCCTTGTCCTGGAAATGCCACTCCTGCTTCACTGCGGGGAGAATAATGTGTGAACTCGGCTGTGCCTGGTGCCATGTGCATGGCTGGCCAGTCACTGCTGGGCATGTGTGCACCCACAGGAGACGCCAGCAGCTTGCAGAGCCTGGGGCAACGCAGTGCATCTCCTTGCCTTGCTCTTGGCACCTCAACCCACATCGCCACCAGCCCCAGAGAGATCCCATCACCATGTGGGGCACCAGTGCTGCCCACGCTCACCGTGCGTGAGGACTCCTCCGTCTACCAGCACCTGGCACACGCCAATGGCTTGGCTCCGTGTCTGGATGGAGAGCCCCGCGCTCAGCAGCCAGTCCACCAGCTCCTTCCCAGAGCAGCACTGCCTAGAAGAGAGGACAGCATGAGAAGGGCACTGGCGAGCCCCTGCCTGGGATGGGCAAGGTAAATCCTGCCATCCTTGGATGACTCCTGGGGTCCAGAAGTGCTGGGCCCCTCGCCACAGCCTGGAGCAGCTGATGATGCCCCCCCAGCACTGCCTGGGTGCTGGCAGTCCCACCTGTGGTGCCGTAGGTGATGCTTGTGGTCACGGATGAGGCCGGGGCAGGTGATCATGAGGTGGCTGAAGAGGAGCTTCCCAGCTCGCCAGATCTTTTCCGAGGATGCCTGGAGGGGAACGAAGATACATGGTTCACAGAGGAAATGAGAGTCCCCTATGCACTCCCCCTTGTGATGAGGACATGGGGAGGGAGGTGTAGGCTGATTTTTCCAAGACATTGCAGGGTATGTCCCCTCAGGTGGGATTTGCAGCCCATGGCGGGGACTGTGCCACTGGGGATGGCAGCAGAGGGATGTGCTTTGTACCAAACATCCCTAAAACCTTGCCAAAGGTGTAATATACCTGCATGTACATACCAGCATGGCAGGATCTCCATCCTCGGCCCCAGGAACAGCCAAGCCCAAGGGACTGACCAGCCCAAAGCTAGACTGGTCCGAGCTCAGGACCTCATGGCATGGGGGTGCTCCAGCCCTGACCCCTTGCCATTACAGCCTTCAAGGTACATTTCTCTATCCCAGCGTCTTCCATACTCAGGTCCCAAACTCCTGCCTTTGTGGATTTTCCCTGCCAACACACCTGGGTCAGGCTGTGTCCATAATCCAAGGTGGATTCGCTGTCCAAAAGTGGGGTCTGGAAAAGCAAAAAGAAAGGGGCTGGTGGCTGTGAGGTCTCAGTCGTGCTCCCCCAGCCTCCTGCATGCTGCAGGAGGGCCCCTGCTTCCTCCAACACACTTAGCTCCCAGATACATGGCTTCTCATGAAGGACAGGGACTTGATAGGACATAGGCTGAGCTCTCAGATGAACCCCTGTGAGGATCACTCATATGGAGATACCTGAGCAGCTAGTGAGGAATTAGCAAAGGGATGTGGTCCTAGTGAAGTAGTTCTGGGGGCAAAACCGTGCCAGGACACCAGATCACTGTCTTGGCCACCCCAAGGGTGTGTCCAGCCCTTACCCACCCTAAAAGATGTTACGGGAAGAACAAGAAATAAGGTGCTTCTTGTAGCAGGTAATGACTTCCCTGGCCCTAACGGAGCCTGCGCTGATGGACGTGTCCTCTGCACATTGGCCTAAATGCTTTTTTGACTCCATTTATGCTTTTGGCCTCCGCAACATCTTCTAGCAATCAGTTCAATGCCAATAAAGTACCTCCTCATCTTGCTTTAATCTGCCCCTGACAACTGCTGTGAGTAGTTCTCCAGCTCAAGGCTTTCCAGGCCCCCAAGATCCTTTTCCCAGTTGCCCCTTGCAGATACCTCCTGGCCAACACCTCCTCCCATGACCTGTAACTTGTTACCCAGCTGCGTTTCATTCAGACAGATCCAGCTCACCAAAGGATGCTCTGCAAGGCTGTCCTGCCTCTTTGCTTGGCCTCCCCTCCCCATGCACGTTTCTCAGAATCATTTTATACTTGCCACGACATAGCATCGTCACCTACAAGGATTCCCCTGCTATATCTATTTCTGCTTGGCAGCAGTCCTGCTCTGGTAGTGACTTTTGGAGATGGGCTAGTGAGCAAGGCGTAATCCCTCTTTACCAAGAGCCTTCCTTGTTAGCCAGCATGGCATGGCTGCAAGCCTGAGTCTGTTATGTGTCTGCAAGCACCGTTGTCAGCCGTACTTGCAATCACATCACAGAAAGCAGTCAGGCTTGTCTGAGAAGTTTTTCCACATGGATAGGTGCAAAAGGGTATCCCCATCCCCTACGGCTATGCAGATCAACATCCAGCCCTGGAGGAGCGTGTCCCTGTGTTACCAAATCCAATTCCTGCTTCCAGGTACAGACTGATCCCTTTTTTTCAGATGGACCAAGTACTGTCCCCAAACTGCTGCCTTATAGCAGGGAGGCTGTTTCAGCAGCCTGCGTCTCAGGTTAAATAAGGCGCTTCTTGCATTCACAACCTGTTCAACCTGCTGCTTTTGTGCCACGCTGTTAGCTGGCCATCCCCTTCCCCAGGACATTGCTTTGTAACTTCATGCTCAGCTTACACCAGATGCTGCAATCATACAGGCAACAACTTGCTCAGAGGCAGGCTCCCAGCCCAGCCCTCGGCTCCACTTGTCTAACTGTTTCTATTAGCTCAGCTGGTCCAGGCAATGATGCCCATACCCAGGAGACCAAGCCAAAGTACAGCCCACGGAGGGTTTTTTTGTGTGGCATCTTTACACTGGAACTAGCTGGAGTTTCCGTTCTCTAGGGATGAGACCAGGGACTGGTGGGGGCTTGCATCTGCACCAGTACAGCAGCGTGACCAGTGATGGGCCCCTGCATGGCATGGCCCTGGCCCCACTGGGGATACACAGAGGAAGCAGAAGGTCCTCCATGACCCTGGCCACACGGGCTTATTGCACTCACTTTGCTCTTGCATGCAGGGTTTGCAGCAAAGTCCAGGTCAGGGTTCAGCTCAGCTGAGTCTTCCTGCCACCCACTGCATGATTGCTGAGCACAGGAGTGACAGTAGCAGAGGGAACACGAGCCCTGGGAACCCAGGAGTCCAGCTGAACTGCCCTCCTAGACGGCGATGTGCTTTCTCATGGTGCAAGCAAAGGGAGAGTCTCTGGACAGCAACCCAGCCCCGGCCCTCCTCACATCTTGCATTGTGCTGGAGGTCCCACAGAGGGAAAGCAGTGAGTGGACCATGCTCACACAACTGAGAAACAACTCCCAGCTCCTCAGGGCAATTACAGGGCTGCTCCAGCCCTTCTGCAAGCTGGCATGAAGCACTGCTGCAGACCCAAGCATGCAGCAGCACAGACCCGGCTTGTGGACATGTTTCCCCATGTCAGGTACCCAGGACACTCTCCCTGTTGACAGCATTTCACTTGTTTCCTTTGGCTCCCACAGTACCACTTTATGATGTTTTGATTGCCACTGCAGAGAAACCATGGCAAGGGCAGAGGGCAGATGGCAGGCGAAGCGCACACTAAAAGTGGGAGCAGCACAAAACTCTGTGCTGAGTCCTTCTGGCAGCAGCCCCACAGGATGCTCCAGCAGCAGCCCCAGGGGACGACAGGCTGGCTGCCCTCTGAGGCTGCCACAACAAATATCTCTGGACTCAGCACATCCAAAAACACCTCTTCACAAACTGGCTGGGTTCCATCCAAAGGGTAGTTACGTTTTCCCTTCTGGGAAGCTGCTGCAGGACTTTGGATGGGCAGGAGCCTTCTCTAAGGGCCATGAAACTGCATCAGCAGCCAGTCCAGCCTCATCTGCTCTCCACCAGAACAGCCCTGGCTGTCCTCATCCCCTGATGCACGTACAAAAAGAAATCACTTCTAGGTCTTTTGAACTATTTTATAAGGGAAGATGAAATAGTGCTGAGGGCAGGCACTGATCCTGCAGGCTCCCGGATCCCATCTTTCCCTTCACAAGCACAGAAATGGTCTAACTTCTTCTTTCCATACATCAGTTCAGACTCCTTGACCTTGGCCTGACAATTCACACCCTTCCATACTACTCCCAGTCCCTACCCATAAGCTCTTTCCATGCTCTGCTTTCCCTCTTGATGGAGTAATGCCATGGGACGTCTTGCGTCCCCCCTCCCCATGCCTTCGACAGGACTGTCGTCCTAAAACGAAGGCAGTCTTTACTCTGCCCCATCCTTGTTGAATGCAGATACCTCTAAAACATGCCATATGAAACCTCTGTTTGTTTATTTTTTCCTGTGTCAGCTTAACTTCTAGCCGCTCTCACTTTATACTTATTTTACCTTGCACGCTGCCAGCCATACTGGCATTAAGGAAATGTGCCCAATTTGCACGGGAGGGCACTCCCAAGATTAACTCTTTAGACACCACTAAAAACTGATTCACAGAGCAGGTAGTTGAGATATCCCGAAGCCAAAATAAATCTGGACCTAGTTCAAAACACCTCGGTTACCTTGCAGCATCCTAACATCATCACCGCATGCATACCAGAGACCTGAAAAAACAAAACCCCCCACAGTTATGTTTAATTTCAAAAGGGGAAGTCCATTAAAACGAGGAAGCTGTTAGATAAAAGAAGGAAGTTAAAAGAGTAAAATCCTTGCAAACAGGGATCAAAGACAACATATTTGAGACAAGGAGTAAACACTTGCCACTTGCAGAGAAGGACTTCAGAAAGACCCGCAGAGAGCTAGAGTAGCCCCAGGGTAAGGAGAGGTGTTCAGACCTGGAAAGCTTTCCTCCATCTTTGAAACCAGGTCCAAATAAGAAAGATGGAAAAGATCACAAACTTCAGCTTGTTATGGGAAAGGCACAAGAAGGCCTTGAAGAGTTGGAGAAACAACTTGCAGGGGGCACCTAAGGACCAGACCTGCTGCCACGGCAGATGATGAGGGTCAAGACCACTCATGGAGGATGAGGTTAGCAAAAAGAGATGATGAATATTGTGCCTATGTTCGCTGTGGAGGAGCGTGGGAGGAGTGCATGCCCGAACCTCTTTTTGGAGGCAACATATTGGAAGATTGGTCGGTCTCAAATGAAAGTCCTGCTGGAAAAAGGTTATAGACTAAATCAAGAAAATAAGCAGTCACAAATCACTAAGGCCTGGTGGTCCTTGGCATCTAGAGGAACTAGCGAGTGAACTAGGTGAATTACTAAGGATGAATTGTAACCTCTCACTTCCTTTGGTACCAAAGAGACAGAGGTAGCAAATATGAAGCTCTTGCAAGGAGCCTTGCAAGATGCCTTCTACCTCCCCCACTACCCATGTGGACTCCCTGGGGCCCAGTGAGGCACCCGTGGCACCCCCATCCTAATCCCATTCCCTATCCTATTTCCAAATTCTTCCCCTTTCAATAGACTCTGAATAAACTAAGCAACAACGGATATGTCATTAAAATGAGGAAAACCCAAGGGAGCATCCAAGCAGTGCATGTCCTGCCTTCAACCCATCTCTGGCCACTCTCTGGCCACTCCTGAGCGCTGAAGAACCCAGCCTCTGAACGGCACAGCTCAAACACCCCTCCTGGTCCTTGCCATACTGGCTCCCATCACCAGGAGAAGGGACCTGCATGGGGATCTCAGGGCTGTGTCTATCCCCTCATCTGCTCACAGATCCAAGCAGAGACCTCAGGGCATCCCCCAGCTCCCTGGATGCCTGCCAGTGGAGCTGCTGGGGCTGCGATTGCTATCCCTCTCCAGGGCCCTCTTGGGCCCTTAGCTCCTCCACTGCTGTGCTTTCCATGGGCTATCCCCCATCAGTAGTTGTTTTTTCTCCTTCTGTTTCTTTTTCTCTTGGGCTTTTCCCATCCTGGGATGGGGTGCCAGATGCAGTGATAAAAGGAAAAAAAAATGGCAGCTCCATCACTTGCTGCCCAAGACCCCAGGTGATTTCCCATCCCTGCACCATGGGGCCACCTCCTCCTCACCACCCTCTCACCCCACGGTGGCAGGAGTCAGCGGAAGGCACTGCTTGTGAGCCTGGCTGCAGACGCAGCCCTAACCCCAGCTTGCCACCATGCAAATCCAGATGAGCTTTGCTGATACCAGCTCCCATTCAAGCACTGACCGAGGGGAAAGTGAGATGTGTGAGGGATGAGGGCTCCCACATAGCCACAGCCCTGAATAAACAACCTTTCATCTGTGCTGCATGTGCTGAATAAATCACAGGCTACCGGAAGCTGAAGGCACCCGTCAGACCTGTTCTCTGCGCCGCGTGCTAAGACAGTTAACGCACTTTGAGCATTAACCCCGAGACATGATGAGGGCGATCTTTACTCAGGGTGCCCTCATCTGCATGTGGGGAAACTCAAGGGGAAGATTTTGTAGGCTCCCACATTTATTTCTGGCTGCTTTGTGATGACAGAGGCAATTACAAAGCCTGTCTCTATGGAAAGGTCTGCAGCACAGCGGCTGGGGACTCCAGGCTGGCGGTGGAGATGGTGGACACTAGCCGCACAGTGAGTGAGCATCTTCTGGTCCAGATCCTCCTCGGAGGCTGTCTGCCTGCTCTGCCCTTGTTGCTTTGTGCTCTGCTCACTCTGGGCAGGGTGAGAAGGTGCAAGCAAGCCCAGACCTGGCTGAACAGCAATGAGAGGGCAAGAGTAATTAGCCCCCCCCTAAGCCTCAATTAAGGAAGCCAAGGGCAAGAGTAATTAGCTGCAGAATCCTTCTTTGCAAATGAATTTAAGGGGGGGGGGAATAACACCTACCAAGGAGCCGAGGGGAAACCAAACGGCCCTGGCACCTCCTAGTACAGGCAGGAGGGTGATGGAGGTGGACGCTCACTGATGGGTGCACGGACAGATGAACTGCCCTGCACCACCTGCCTGGCCAATGGACCATCCCAAGCCGAGCAGACACCTACTCACACCCTGCCTGGCTCAGGCTGCTCCCTGAGCCTGCACCTCATTTCCTAATTCTCACTTCTGCAAGACCTCAGTTAACTCCTC